TCATTTTTGATTGATTAGATGAATGTATGAGTTAGATTATTATTAGCATTGTTTGTTAGGTGAGTGAAATTTCTTCGCGATTTCAAACGCGTTAATTTCTTCATTCTTATTTTGAAAAGGAGTGTTAGAGTGATTCAAGTATGGGAATTTAGTTGTTATTTGAAACATTGCATGATGTTTGTTTAAGAACTAAATTCTTTGTCATTGTTCGATTCTATTGAGTGGTGAGCATTGCTTGTGCGTATTCTCTTGCTTGGCCAAATCCTCTTATTTGAGCAAATTTATCTTGTTTGAATTTGAATCGTTAATCCTTTCTTGTTTGAATCTTATACTTGAGAAAATCCTCTTGTTTAAGCAAATTTCTCTTATTTTTATGAGGGGCATACTTAGCTTGAGGACAAACAAAAATCTAGTTGGGGAGAGTTTGTTAAGTGTAAATTTTGACTTAAATTGAACCATCTTTCTTAGAACTTTTCAACTCATTTCTCATGTTTAATATATTTATTTCTTGTTCTTGCATGATACTTCAATTATATTGCAAATACCTTTTGATTCTTTGATGTGTGTGTTATTGTGCAGGAAATAGGCATAAAACATCAATGATTTTAAGACACAAAGGATTGACCAAGTAAGCCAAATAATTGATGAAGAATCAGCATGTTCGCTATGCGAACACCAACGAGCAGCTAGCGGATATTCGCTGGGCGAACTCCTGGAGAAGGCCCAGCGAATCAACTTAGATTAAAGGCAATAGGAAAAAAGCTCAAAGTTCACTGGGCGAAGTTGAAGCGAAGCAGTTCGCTGTGTAAAGAAGTGTTCGCACAACGAACTCAGATATTTTCCAAGGGCGGTTTAACTGTTTCTGAGGCACTTCAAGTGCCTAAAAGTAGACGTTTCTGGGTGAATAAGTTGTTTGCTAGAAGAACAGGACAAATTTTGTAATAACTATTTAAGTACTTTTCTCACTTTTAAAAAAAAGACTTGTACTTTTTGGAGATCAAAATTTTATCTCTCTTTATTTCAAATATATTCTAGAGAGAGAAACACAAACCCTAAGGGGGAGAAGGTAAGATCTTCGATTTCTTGTTGGGGTTTGGATGTAATATTTTGATACCATATGTATTTTATCTAATATATGTATTGTGAACTAGTTTTTGATTCAATATTGATGTTGTCTTTGATTTCTTATCTGTGGGTCTTAACAAAACCTTTTTCAAATCTTAGATCTTAGATATGCATCTATCAATGAGCAAACTTTTGACATAGTCTTGTAAGTTGATATTCACTTGTATCTTTGCTTGTATTATGTTGATTAGTAGCATGAGTAGAATCAATACAGTTTTATGAGGATGCATGACAATAGAGATGAAGAACTACGTTCACATACATTTGGCAAATTAGTTGAATACAAGTAAAAAGGGTTAATCATGTGTACGTATTCTGATCACGGCGTTATATATGAATCAAATCATTAATTTAATATGGATGTTATCCGAATATCTGTTAGGTCTAAAATCTAAACATTGATTTAGGTTTAACATTCACGTGAGTATTAGTTCTCAATGCTTTGTGTTGGTTTTTTTATGTGAGACATCACGATGAGACAATACAGTTGGACTCTCGACTTTGCGTTAGACATAACCTCTGTTATGAGTGATACGTGATGGTATTAACCGAACGTTTGAGTTGTGTATAACATGGTTAGAAGAATGCATGTGTTATCAATTGATGAGATCCAATCTCAACAAAGCTCTATTTATATTTCATTCTTTACTTTATATTTTCTGCCTTTGTCTATTGTATCTGTTGATCTTTCAACCATTTTGTAACTATAAGCTTAGAAATGTAGAGATTGTTGAATATCGTTCTTTCCCTCGCACCGATCCCTATGGAGACGATATAAATCCCAAAGGAAATCCTTCCAAATTTAAAATTTTTCTTCTTTCCGCTTTACTGCACTTCGAATACTGACCAAAAGTGCTTATCCACATTAGTCTCGTTGATAACGGTCCTTGTCATTTCCTGCAAAGTCCTATTCTTCCTCTCCACAACTCCATTCTGTTGTGGAGTTCTAGAACAGGAGAAATCATGGGAAATTCCACTCTCATAAGAGAGTTTCTCAAAATCTTTGTTTTTAAATTCACCACCATGATCACTTCTGACTTTTACAATTCTGAGATCCTTCTCATTTTGCACTTGGGAGTAGAAGGTAAAGAATACAGAATGCGACTCATTCTTGTGTCTAAGAAATTTCACCCATGTCCATCTATTGTAGTCATCAACAATGACTAGTCTATACTTACCATTGACAGAGACAATTTTCATTGGCCTAAACAAGTGAATGTGAAGAAGCTCCAACGGTCTGGAGGTTGATACAACATTTTTAGTTTTGAAATAAGTTTTAGAAAACTTCCTTTCTGACATGCTTCACAAAGAGTATGTGAAGCAAACTTCAGATTTGGCAGACCTCTGACTAAATTGAGCTTATTAAGCTAGGAAATCCTCCTCATGCTAACATGACCCAATTTTCTATGTCATGTCCATTGCTCTTCGTTAACAAACATAAGACATTTAACATTCTGATTTTTTAAGTTAGAAAGTATGATCTTATAAATGTTGTTCTTTTGACTGACAACTTTGCAAGAATTTTGATTGAAAAGAAATGAGTCATTCTTTTGACTGACAACTTTGCAAGAATTTTGATTGAAGATAATGTCATAACAATTTTCACTTAATTGACTTATGGACAAAAGGTTATGCATTAGTCCTTTAACAAGAAGAACATTAATAATGGAAGGGAGATAACTGTTACCTACTGTTCCAAAGCAAATGATCTTCCCTTTCTAATAACGCGTGTATGTTGTGTTGTGCTTTATACTTTTTTTTCAATTACTTTGAGTTGATGTAAAAAATTGTAACATTGCTATAATAATAATAATAATATATTTGGATGTTGCTGTTATTTTATTTTGTTTTCATTGCATTGCAATCTCGGAGTTAAAATTCAATTTAGTTTTCGAAAATCATTTGGATGCATAAATTTTGTGTTCAACTTCTTATAGAGTGATTTATACATGAATTCACTTTAAGTTAACTTAACACAACACTAAATTCAGTTTGTTTTCAATTTTGGTTGGTTTCCGATCCCGTGGCTTATTCTTGAGCCTTCTTACAATGAGCTCTTTTCTTTTGTGTGCTTGCGTTTACTAGTTTGATAGGTTGTACTTTAATTGCTTCATTACTCCCCATTGACAAAATGCGCCCCCATCCCTTGTTTGTAAATTCTATTCATTTTTCTTATTTTTATTTCCTTTATATAAATCATTAATCAAGATAAATACATAAAAAGAAAAATAAAATCTATCTTTAAAAAAATGAAAAGAAAATAGTTGGTCAATACCAAGTTCCATTTAAATCTATTTCACCCTAAATCTTTTCAAACCATTTTCACTAATCATCTTCACATTTCACATTCAAATCATTTTTCAAAACCCTAAAATCACTTCAAACTTTTTTATAATCATAGATTAAAAACTTGACCCAACGTCAAGCCATTTTCTCAAATAAAAAATCAAAACACTCAATTCTTACTAAACACTTTTCAATAAAGATGAAAAAGAAATGAGGTGGATATCATGAACTCCAGAGATTAGGATTTGAAATGAATATCCCGTCCATCCAAGCTATCGCCATCACTCAAAATACATCAAACACATCAAACTTTTTTTTTTCTGGACGTCGCGCGATCTTTCGAACCTTTTTCACAAACGAAAAATATTTTGTCTCGAGCTGATGTAATACAATGCTTCTTTCACAATTGTGAGTTCAAATAAGTGACATTTTCCCGTGAATGTTGATAAGTAGATATCTATTCTATGTGATGCAAACGCTCGCTTTTCACATGTTTTGGGTAAATTAATGTTTTTCTGTCGATTGAGATTAAATAGCTTTCACTAAAATCGACCAACAAATAAACATTTTATATCTAAAACTACGTAAATCCGGAGTTCTCCATTGTACCTGGAGAACGTAGGAGCGAGATTCAAAGTCTTGTGAGACACCCTAATAAAAAATAAACTTTTTAGTTCATTTCTTCTTTTCTTTTCAATAACTCGAGAAGCTTAACATTTTAAAGCTAACACTAACGCAAACAACTAACGAAATGGTTTTCATTACGTACAACGGACGTGAGGGATGTTAATACATTTTTCTTGCGTAATTGACTCCTGAACCTTGATTTGGTTGCGACTACGACGACCATATCATTGTCGTTCTTTTTGAATTTTATCAATATTTTCTCTTTCTCCTTTTTAAGAATAAATAAAATTCGGTGACGACTCTATGTTAAATTCATCCCACGAGTTTGCGATCGTACTTTGAAAGTTTCGTGTTTTTATTTTCTTGAGATATAACCGGAACCAAAAAGTAAGTTAAATGTGTTATTCTTACACACTAATTTATACAGATTTGCAGTGAATCCGAAAGTTCCTCCAATGTACAACACAAAAGCTGATCGTCACAGTGATGTGATCTCTAAGGAATATGATACTCGGATTGATCATGTTCATATGGCTTATGCCAATAATTATTTAATTTGTCTGTTCTTCGCATGCAAGAGTTCATATTAGGTTAGGACAAAGTCCGTAAACACTTCATTGCGAAACTCAAATATATCAAAAAATGGTATCGCTCATCAAATGAATATGGTCTTCAAATCAAAGCCATTACTAAACAAGAGCAAATTGATGCCATTATTGAAGGAATCCTAAAAGAATACAGTCTCTTTGTTATGCAAATTTATGGTCGCACTGAGTCCCTTTCTCAATATGATGTTGAGGCGATCATAGCATATAAAAAACATGGCATGAGAATTAAAAGAAAAGGAAACAATAATGGTTTTCAGAATATCATTTCCTGAGTCTACATACAATCTATACACCAGAATAATAGAAGATTAGACGCTATGGGAAATATTTTTCGATCCACCACAGAAGGAGGCTTCATGTCCTGATCATTTGAAGAGGAATGGCCTCTATGGGAAATATTTTTCGATCCACCACTCGTCGAACTGGAGTAATTCCAAGTCTCGGCGAATGGCGACTTGTTTGTCCTTCTACTAACATTTTAGAATCAGAATCTCCATTTATAGCAGCAGCAGCAGATTCCCAAATTCTTGCACCTGCTTTCTTAGCGTTGTGTGTGTTGAAATAGGCCATAATAATCTAATAAACCAAAAGATAAAGATTGTTAATTTAAACAAATAAGCGTCGCCATTTCTATTGAAATTTATGATCTGCTTACTTTAACAGGGCCGGCCGCTATGAGGGAGTTGACAGAAGTACTTGCATACATAATTCCCTTATCATTAATCCATGAAACGGAACACATCGCCTTTGCACGACAGTGAAGGCCATCATCACCAACGAGACTTTTTACAGATAACGAAAGTATCTCAAATTCTCCCTACAAGTGCAACACAAATTAAAAGATACGAGCGAAAAATTAAGAGCTTAACATATATATTATTATAAGATAAGACGCAGAATTTAACCTTCTGGTGCGCGAGACCATCAGGAGTAAAAAGGCCAATGTCTGATATAGTACCAATCGCAGAGATTATGTTAAACGTTTGATGAGGAAATGCCTGAGATATAGTGTATATAGTATCTACCATATCCTGCAAATCATATGTTTAGTAAATGAAATGTAAAAATTGCATATGAAATGAAAATATTGGTTGATTAATGTTACACCTCGCCAACATTCAAATCTATGAAATAGGGGGTGAGTTTTCCAGGAGGGCGTGGGGGTCTTTTCTTGGTTGGAGTTTCTGCAGAAGATGTATCAGAAGTTCCTTCAGTTTGTGAAGAAGTTATTAGAGAAGGTCCTTGTTTTCTCTTCTTTGATTCGGAACCGGAGCCACAAGGGCATCTGTGTCGTCTTCTTATCTTGGTTGGAGTTTCTGCAAAAGATGAATCCGTTTCAGGTCCCTCTTTTCTCTTCTTTGGTGTTATGCTGGGAGAACAATCCAATGGCAATGGCCATGGAAAATTTGAAGAATCATACATTGGTATATCACTACCTACTTCTTTTATATTCTTGAAACAAGTTTCATTTTCAGATTGAGAAGTTTCTTCTTTCTGAGGATCAGTAGTGGAAGTACTAATCATCTTTGTTGCCGCCGTGTTCTTTTGACCCTCCTCCATTTTTGTGTTGTGCCACAAGAACTATGAAGAAACTATGGAATGTGAACAAGAGAAAGAGATGGAATATATATTTATAGTATGAGCTAACTAAGAAGGAAATGTAACTAACTGTTTATAACTGCTTCTAACTGATTAACTACCATAACTAATTTGTTAAATCATTTCACATAACTAATTAGCTTTGGATTGATCATGTTACAAGCTTATAGTATTGCTTTGAGGCTTTTCCAATTTCTAGTCATAGTTTATAAGTTTCTATAATTTTATCTTTTAACTAAAAGTTAGAATTCAAGAAAATCACATCACCCCTGTCTATCTTTAAATTTATTAAAATAAGAGTTAAATAAGTTTGACTCTTAAACATTTTAATATTTGTTTTGACTTTAAATTTTTTTTAATTAATCATTGTTTTAAAATTTTCCATCCACAATTTTAATCGTTCAATTTAATTTTTGTTAATGGAAGTTGATGTGGAAGAACCCATGATAAACACTAGTAATATCATAGAAGTCCTATAAAACTCCTGACTTCTGATGCATTCTGAGGTGACTCCAAATTGAGTACCACATCTACCTTAGATGGATCCACCACAACTCCTCCCTGAGAGATCACGTGTCCGAGAAGTTTGACTTATGACATCTAGAATTCACACTTGCTAAGCTTTGTGAATAACTTCCTCTCTTGCAGAACAGAAAGTACAACCCTCAAATGCCTTGGTGCTCTTGAGCTGTACGACAATATATTAAGATTTCATCTATAAAAATCAACACAAATTGATCTATATATGGTTGGAACACACGATTCATATAGTCCTTAAAGACGGATGAAACATTAATCACTCCGAAAGGCATCACAAGAAACTCGTAATGTCCATAACGAGTGCGGAAGACAGTCTTTGGGGTGTCATAACATTTCACTCGGATTTGATAATATACAAAATAAAGATTAATTTTCAAGAACACACAAGCTCTTTTCACTTGATCCAGGAGGTCATCAATCCAAGGCAATGTGTATTTGTTTTTAATAGTGACCTTGTTTAGTTGGCGGTAGTCTATACATAATCTCATACCACCATCTTGTTGGTGTAAGCCCTAGAGGCCAATACTTTATGGTACTTGTATCAGATTATTCGTTTAATAATAAAAGGCATTTCTTTATTATGTTTGTCTTTCAGAATAATAAAGTCCCTAGAATAGTTAGTCTGTTTAATGAAATGTTAAGTGTGACTTAATCATGAGATCCCATTAAACATAAAGACATTATTCTTAAAATATCCGTAGTCAAGCTTTATTGCAAAGTGGGATAACATTAAAAGCATTGAGACTATTATGAAGATAGACTGATGATCACATCTCATGGATCATGGATAAAGAGTTATCAAGTCTTGACATAGGTATAAATATTAGGAGTAATATTTATACCGGATTGACCCGCTATGAGAATACTACATAGTATGTTATGCAAAGTGTCATAAGTTATTCTCATGGTGATAATGGTGTATTACCACCCTTCGACCTGAAACCACTATGGACCCTAGATGTAGAGTCGGGTGCTTTATTGCTGATCAAACATTATCCGTAACTGGATGATCATAAAGACAGTTGATGGACACTCCACGAAGCATGCTGAGGGACATGAGTGTCCTAGATGGAATTTGCCAATCCTGCATAACAGGAGAAATGTCTAAGGGCCCAATATTGAACTGGACAAGGATGACACAGTGTATGCCTTGTGTTCAATATAGACATAGGGGCAAAAGGGTAATTGTACAAACATATATTATCACGAAAAAGGTTTTGTCAGATCACATGACATTTTCGTGACTTGGGTAGCAGTGATGTGTTGCTAGATACCGCTTACTGTTTATTATGTTAAATATATATAATTTAATATAATTACCAACGTTACGAAATCCTACAGGGTCACACACATAAGGACAGTTTGATGAGAGATAGAGAAATCAAAGGAACACCGTAAGGTACGGTGCACTTAAGTGAAAAATAGAAATTCAGATAATATAATAATAATTATTGTTATTTTATAATGGTTATAAAATAATAATAAAATAAATATATTTATTATAATAATAGTTATTATAATAATATATAATATTATTATGGATCATGTGAATTAGGGTTTTAGCCCGCAGCCCACAAGAGAGTCTATAAAAGGAACCCTTGTGATGAAGCTTTCACTTGATGCAATTTCGTTTTTGATTCTCTTTTCTCACTCAAATAATTCCGTTCGTAAGCAGCTAGCACTGTGACCGGAAGCTGTTCGTGTGGACTGAGTAGAGGCGTTGCACTTCATCAACGCTTGTGATCGCTGCATCAAAGATCTGAATCGCCACAAAGAGGTAACGATTCTATCACTGACCATGCTCATTCGTAAGGATCACTAAAGGAAATTTTTGTTTTCCGCTGCGTATAGATCGCAATTTTCCTTCAGTGGTATCAGAGCCACTTACGAAACCATGGATCTGATAGCTGTTAAATTTCCGTCTTTTCTGTATTTGATTCGATTAAAACACAGAATGAATTTAACAATAAACGATTAATTAAATTTGGCATCTGTTGTGTACGATTTGGATGATTGATGTTGATTATGCTTCGGAATCCGACATTAGTATGGTGAAGTTGTGCGATACATTGATCATCCATAGGTTACACAATTAGATCGATCACTTTTATATAAGATATAAGAAATTCTGATGCAAAGATGGTATATGGGATATACTGTTTTGATTTCATCCATTCAATCACATAAGGATTGTAATTCTTTTGAAAGATCATCACTTTCATTCGCTTCGGAATCCGACGTTAGTATGGTGAAGCAATGATATGTTGATCTATCATATTGAGTTATCAATCGAGTTGTGTTTGACGGCATGAAATTGTTGCATTAGGATTAATGGCAGTACAAGTGTTGTATTGCCGCAGACTTTTCCGGTTGGGGTTGTAAATGCACAAAAGTTGTGCAGGAAACGACGTGAAATACAATGAAGTGTTCAAAAAAAAATTTTCGCTGGGGCGCTGCCCCTAACAACCCCGCAAGGGGGCGCTGCCCCCTTGAACCCCGTCCGCTGAACGGTCAGCGGAACCACCGTCCGCTGACCGGGCAGCGGAACCCCCGGCTAAGTCTGCAAAGTGTGATCAATCAGTCGAAATTTAATTTAGTTTATTTAATTATCGGAATTTTAAACTAATAATAAAAGTCTGTTTATTATTATTTATTTGTGGTGATCAGTTATGGCCTTAGTTTTTCCTTTATTATTGTTTTGGGATTTTTGAATACGGCCTGCGTGTCGTGCCTCTCTCTCTCAATCTCTTTATGTAACTTCTTTTCTCATCTCACTCCCTCGTATGTAAAACGAGTTTTCTTATATGTAATGTAATATTATGTTATGAAAAAAAAAGAGGAAGTATTCAATATTAAAGGAGGATAACCTTGGAGATCATGCTTGGAGAAGCTTAGATCGTTATTAGGTTAGCTTAGGTTCTCTCATTGGCTTGAGAGAACAATTGCGTTAGGGGCCATAATTGTATCTTTTTTTTTTTATATGTATGTTGATGCATGTAATTGTATGTTGATGCATGTGAGAGACGTTTTGCATGTTAAGCCGGTGAGATCAAACTAATAATAAATTCCCTCAAAATTAAATATTAAGTTTATGCTTTCCAATTTTTAGCACTCATCAAGACTAGTATCGAGCATTGCAGGTTTCGCCTACGCGAGGTGCATGTTCTATATTAGTAAGGTGTGATGGGATAATTGTAATATCCAATTGCTAAAACAATGGGTCAAACTTAACTAAACAAATTATAATAAGATTATATATGTTTAGAAGCAAGAATTGGGAATGATTCATGTGATGGATCAGAATAAGGAGTTATTCACCCAATTGAAAATATTCGAGAGTTGTATGAGATACAATTGGAAGGAGTTCCTACCTAAATAACTTAGTTTTGTGTAATCAGCCTAACGCTGACTTAAAACAAAGTGAAACATGGATCTCGACCCACTAGAAAGTCTTCCAACGGGATTTTCCGAATCAAATGATGAGGGTCATTTGTTTTGAATAAAATAGTGGGAGCATATTTGATTAAAGGCCTAATTAAATATGTTGTTTTAATGATACTTATATTTTCATATTTCTCTTGTAGATTACCATGACAACAAACACATCGAACAATATTTTGCGATCCATCCTAGATAAGGAAAAATTGTCTGGGACAAATTTCCTGGATTGGCACCGTAATCTGAGGATTGTCCTCAAGCACGATAAGAAGCTGTATGTCTTGGAGACACCAGTTCCTGAGGAGGAACCTCCTAGTTCTGCACCAAAGGCAGAAAGAGATGCTTATAAAAAGCATTTCGATGATGCCAATGAAACCGCTTGCCTCATGCTTGCTACCATGAACTCTGAGTTGCAAAAGCAACACGAGAACATGTCTGCGTTCGATATGATCGGACATCTGAAAACGCTTTATCAAGAGCAAGCAAGAAATGAGAGGTTTCAGGTTTCAAAGTCCCTTTTTAACAGCAAGTTAGCCGAGGGAGCCCCTGTAAGTCCCCATGTACTCAAGATGATTGGGTATGTGGAGAACCTTGACAGATTAGGGTTTCCCCTTGGAAAGGAACTTGCGATTGATCTGATCTTGCAATCGTTGCCAGAGAGCTTCAGTCAGTTTGTCCTGAATTTCAATATGAATGACTTGGACAAAAGTCTTCCAGAACTGCTAGGCATGTTGAGAACTGCTGAGCAGAATATGAAGACAAAAGGGAAATCCATTCTGATGGTCAGTAATGGAAAGAAACAGAACAAGAGGCCCATCAAACAGGGTGGTAGAGGGAAAGGCAAGGAAGTTGCCAAACCCAAACCCACTCCTCCTGTTTTGAAGCCTAGTGGAGGAATAGCAAAGGAGGGCACTTGCTTCCATTGCGGTAAGACCGGACATTGGAAGAGAAATTGCCCAAAGTACCTGGAAGATAAGAATAAT